CAGCTGACAGAGATCAGCTCCAACTGGAGAAAAGGGCTGCTCTGAAGGGTGGACTCTATGGCATTGGGCCATGCTGAGGCCCCTCCCCTCCCCTCCCCAAACCCCACCCTCTCCTGGCTCCACCCCCAAAGTCTCCAGGTATTTTCCAACCCAGATCTGGCAACCCAATGCAGTACTCATCCTACGAAGGAGCACTTTCATCCGTCCGTCCTGGCTATGCTGTCCTACTAGCTTCACCCAGTGACCTTGACATTGGGCGTTGTCTCAACTCACCTTCATTGCAGTGCTCAGGAACCACTTCAAAGACCATTCTCCCTGCAAAGGTGAATCAGTTCACACGTGGACACACGAGGCTGCCTTCTACTGAATCAGACTATTGGTCCATCAGTCTTGTCTACTCAGACTGGCAGCCGCTCTCCAGGGCCTCAGGCTGAGGTCTTTCACATCTCCTCCTGCCTGGTCCTTGTAACTGGAGATACCAGGGATTGAACCTGGGACCTTCTGCATACCAAGCAGAGGCTCTGCCACTGAGCCACAGCCCCTCTTTACAGCTCTCCAGGGTCTCAGGCTGAGGTCTTTCCCATCACCTCCTGCCTAGTCCTTGTAACTGGAGATGCTGGGGATTGAACCTGGGACCTTCCACATGCCAAGCAGATGCTCTACCGCTGAGCCACAGCCCCTCTTTACAGCTCTCCAGGGTCTCAGGCTGAGGTCTTTCCCATCACCTCCTGCCTAGTCCTTGTAACTGGAGATGCTGGGGATTGAACCTGGGACCTTCCACATGCCAAGCAGATGCTCTACCGCTGAGCCACAGCCCCTCTTTACAGCTCTCCAGGGTCTCAGGCAGAGAGAGGTCTTTCCCATCACTTCCTGCCTAGTCCTTGTAACTGGAGATGCCGGGGATTGAACCTGGGACCTTCCACATGCCAAGCAGATGCTCTACCGCTGAGCCACAGCCCCTCTTTACAGCTCTCCAGGGTCTCAGGCAGAGAGAGGTCTTTCCCATCACCTCTGCCTGGTCCCTTGTAACTGGAGATGCCGGGGATTGAACCTGGGACCTTCCACATGCCAAGCAGATGCTCTACCGCTGAGCCACAGCCCCTCTTTACAGCTCTCCAGGGTCTCAGGCAGAGAGAGGTCTTTCCCATCACTTCCTGCCTAGTCCTTGTAACTGGAAATGCCGGGGATTGAACCTGGGACCTTCCACATGCCAAGCAGATGCTCTACCGCTGAGCCACAGCCCCTCTTTACAGCTCTCCAGGGTCTCAGGCAGAGAGAGGTCTTTCCCATCACTTCCTGCCTAGTCCTTGTAACTGGAAATGCCGGGGATTGAACCTGGGACCTTCCACATGCCAAGCAGATGCTCTACCGCTGAGCCACAGCCCCTCTTTACAGCTCTCCAGGGTCTCAGGCAGAGAGAGGTCTTTCCCATCACTTCCTGCCTAGTCCTTGTAACTGGAAATGCCGGGGATTGAACCTGGGACCTTCCACATGCCAAGCAGATGCTCTACCGCTGAGCCACAGCCCCTCTTTACAGCTCTCCAGGGTCTCAGGCAGAGAGAGGTCTTTCCCATCACTTCCTGCCTAGTCCTTGTAACTGGAAATGCCGGGGATTGAACCTGGGACCTTCCACATGCCAAGCAGATGCTCTACCGCTGAGCCACAGCCCCTCTTTACAGCTCTCCAGGGTCTCAGGCAGAGAGAGGTCTTTCCCATCACTTCCTGCCTAGTCCTTGTAACTGGAAATGCCGGGGATTGAACCTGGGACCTTCCACATGCCAAGCAGATGCTCTACCGCTGAGCCACAGCCCCTCTTTACAGCTCTCCAGGGTCTCAGGCAGAGAGAGGTCTTTCCCATCACTTCCTGCCTAGTCCTTGTAACTGGAAATGCCGGGGATTGAACCTGGGACCTTCCACATGCCAAGCAGATGCTCTACCGCTGAGCCACAGCCCCTCTTTACAGCTCTCCAGGGTCTCAGGC